CTGTCACATGCAAATGACATTGCTGGACCTCCACATCACTATAACCAGTACTAGGCACATTAGGCGGTACTCGATTGTAATGTAAAATGACAGAACCCAAGGTTAGTCGAGTCAAACCAAGTAAATACTAGCGGAAAATTATTCTAAGGTTCCATGGAAATTTACACCAGTCACCAAACTCAAAGAAAATAGAAAAAGATCAAGGCTTTAGTGACTCTCTCTACTAAATAAAAAAACAATGGTTAAGAACTGACAGTTGAAACACTGAGCGCTGGTCAGGCTGTTAGAATTGTGACCACATTCTACTATGATTTGCAGCAGGAGACGTGACCTTTCATATTCTCACAAGATGATATTTCCATTATCACATGAGGACCGTAATGACTGGTAGTAATTTGATTTAGCCTTCTTAATCAAGTGGGTGCAGATGTTTCTTTATTGCAGAAAGGACAGGCAGTCCCCTGGAGTGGCACCAGATGTACCATTGGACCAAGCTTTTTCTCTATTGTTGATGGCATACAACAATTCCTGAGGCACTCGGGAGTTTTGTATGTTTTTAATTGTGTTTTGTTTGGAATGTCAGCAGTTCTAGTGTTAAGGGGCATCCACACAGGAAGCAACTAGGAAGCTTATTTCTGCCACTTGTTTTAGCAATCTTGTTCTTTCAGTCACTACCCATAGCTCGGAATAAGTGAGGGCAGGAACTTAGAGTGACCTGTCAATTGCCACCTTCACTTTCACACCCAGGTCTCTATTCAGTGCAATATACAGGTATAACATCTGTACAGAAGACATGGCACCAATCTACCAGCCATTGGCCATGCTCTCACCTTACTTGTGAACAAAACCAGAGTGAGCACTCCAACCTTTTCTGGCTGAGAAGCAGGGTGACAGACTTGGAGGTGCCCATACTCATTCCTGATGCTTCATGCTCAGCTGCAAACCACCTCCGGGCATGCTGGAGGTTACTGCCTGATGAAGGGTTAAGCAGAATTATGGTACAGCAGAGGCACCACATTCATTGTCCGCTGGGAGTCCAAGTATGGTCTGTCTGCTTACAGAGTTATGCTTGCAAAGTTTATGCAGTAAAATCAATCTGTAGGTCACTCTTGCTTGTATTGTTGTTGGTCAGTTAGCCAGCCACAGGGAAGACTGAGTAATAACATACAAAGGGCTGAAGTGAAACTGTGTGCTAAAAACAATAGAAGTGTTAAAAACAGTTATGTTGCATATGTCATCTGCTTCCAGGAGACAGGATGTTGGAGAACTGCATGGGAGCGTGTGTGGGGTGGGTGAAAACCCCTTTCATGCCCTCTTTTAGCGGAAAAATCCAAATATTGTATGCAATCATTTGCAGAACCATAAATCACACTTTAAGAAGAGAGAGTGAGAACGAGAGACAACCACATCATCTGCAAAAAGCGGAGATGAGATCCTGAGATCACCCCTCAGCTGCGTCTGTAAATTCTGTCCATAGATGTTAACAGAATTTTTGACAAAGGTGGTAGAGACCCCACGCCCACAGGAACGCTTCTGATTTATTGCTGGCAATATGAACCAAGCTCTTCAGGGACAAGAAATAATTAAAAATGGCTAATGCTAAACACACACACTACATAACACTGTAGCACACAATTTGAGGGAGATCGTGGCTCAAGAGCTGGCAGTTCATCTTGTAATCGGAAAGTTGCCGGTTCGAGCCTCGGCTCAGATAGTCTCGGTCGTTGTGTCCTTGGGCAAGACACTTCACCTACTGCCTCCACCAGTGTGTGAATGTGAGAGTGAATGAATAGTGGAATTGTAAAGCACTTTGAGGGTCTCGAAAAGCGCTATATAAATGCAATCCATTATTATTATATTATTATTATTATTATATTGCCTCATGCTATGCTCAGGGCATGCTGCCAAAAGGTTTCAATATTCCTGTCGGTGATTTAGGAGCAAAGGTAACACCTTTTTCAAGCAGATTTCCAGCTGTGCATTAGACAGTCAGCAGGTGGAGTTTTCCCTCACTCCCAAGAGGGTTACTGCTGCTTGGATTAGAGCTTGAAGTTTAGCACCACTCCTTTTCATGTGTGGCATGGCCAGGGTATGACCCAGCTGTCACAAGTAGATTTAGTGACATCTGATAAGTTCCCCACGTAGAATGAATGAATGTAGAATGAAGTATTTCTAATTTAAAGTGACTGCCAGAGTGCCCCTAATCCCATTGATGCTGTATGACACTTTAATTTAGAGCCTATAGTTAACATTAACTGAATAAACAGTTCCAGTTCTTAAACATGCAATGGGCAGAATTGGGTGCATTTAATTGGGGTCCGCTGGGAGCCCAAAACATTTATAATTTTAAAAAGCATTAATTAAAGAAAATTTAAAAAATTATGTCAAGTTATGAGAAATATATATACATAACTGGGGAGTCCATGCAAACCCTAGAGATATATTTTCCCCACAACCTTTGTAAAAATTGCTCACACACTTGTCTTTCCAGTGGCAGAGAGTGCATTCTGCTCTGTATCTTAGCCAGTCTGAAACCTTTGCTCCATGAAAATGGAAGAACCTGCAATTTCAAATCCCTCCCTCCCCTATATCTGATGGAAATAACTAGAAGGTAAAAGAAGAAAAAACGTCCCAAAGATGCACAAAGAACACTAAGTGAATACAGTATACTATACAGTACTGTAATGAATACAGATGCAATAACCATGGCAAAGGCATACCACTGTATTCCACTTTAAGCCACAAGTTCTTAAAAACAACAGCAGTGTCTTATAGAGACTAAATAGAAAAGAAACATAATTTCAGAAGCACGCTCAAGTGATTCTTGGGCCTCTGCCCTTGACTGCCCAGTTCACATGGTTAACGCAGTTTCAGGCGGTCCTAATGGGACCAGGCCCTGGGGTATGATCTCTCGCCTGGCTTGAGAAGATCTAGGCTTCCTCTCTGGAACAGTTGGAGGAGGTGGCCCAGGAAAATGAGGTTTGGACTTTTCCTGCTTGTTGCCATAGTGGATAGATGGGTGGAGGGATGATCTTATATCGTTTAAAATGTTTATCCAGTCTTAAGATTTTCCTTTGCTGACATTTACAAGTTTTACTGAACATTTAATACAATTCAATTAAAATCTAAGCTATAAAATATATACCCCATTGAAGGCATGAGAACAAAAAGGAATTCTTCCACAATCATACCTTCGGTTGTCGGATAGTGTTGGAAAATCCCCCAGTGATTGTCTCCAAGTGCTGTTATCCCCCATCAATCACAGAATCAGTCATTAATAAAAATTCCTCTGTCAGGGGTCTTATTGCATGTAACCTTTCACTTATGTCACTTTTGTAATTTCTCTCCTCAAGGTGAATTGCAATAATGGATACAGTGAAAAGATGATTAATGGCATGGCACTTCCGACAGGTTTGTGATGAGTTTGAGTAATTGTCCCCATCGTTAAAAGCCAATTTCATTTAAAAGAAAAGTAGGGGGTGGTGAGTGCGTGTTCCATAGTTAAGAGAAGACAAATCAAAAGCAGTAAAATTAAATGTATTTTATTATAATCTCACATCTAATGGCTCCTTTTTGTATTCGTGCCTGCTATTTAAGCACTGACAGCACATCGACTTTACATTCCAAAGAAGCAAAAATGAAAATATAGATATCTTTCACCACTTTCTTTGTTTTTCCTCTTTATCCCTCACTCACACAGTACCATGGCATTTGGGCAGAAAGTGGACAATAGCAGGCGCATTGTTTGGTCTGTCTGAGCATGATAAGCTTTCTAAAACATGTCAATAAGGCTTCTGGCAAGGGACAGCTGAGGGGGACATAAGCTAGCCTCTAGCCGACTTGACTCACCACATCAAGCCAAAGTCAGAAGCAGTGATTCACACACTGTACTACCATTCCAGTCAGGACAAACCCACACAGACTTGCTATCAATAGACTGGAAATTGTATTTGTTTAGAAGCTGAACTGTTGCTGTTTGTTGAGCTAAACCACCATGAGCAACGTCAAAGAGGCATTTGGGAGTGCAAAAGAACTAACTGGCAAACGTAGACAACAACAAGAAATTCTACAGAGAAGATGAAAAATGTTTGAATTTGACTTGTTTGGTTTTGTTTACTTTCCTTTCCTTAATTTAAGGTCCACTTTCTTCCAGTGGTCTCTGTATCTGTCATGCTAAAAAACAGAGACCACTAATTAGTCAAAATGTTAGGTTAGTCTGGCCACCGTTAGTCTGGTCATCTTTGATCCACGTTTCATTAATAATTAATTACATAGCATAACATCATTTTTTGAAAGTTTCATGGTCCCAAAATGTGGATTCTGTCTATTATGACAAGCCCCTGATTTTTGTACCACCACTAGGCAGTTTTTTTTTTATTGGTCCTATGAATTATCTCAGTGTTTCTTTGGTGTAATATTTATCCTTTAAACATTTTGTGTTCTGGAACGGTTCACAGCAGAGTGTGAAGCAGCGGAATGAGGATCAGCACCTCCAAATCTGAGGCCATGGTTCTCAGCCGGAAAAGGGTGGAGTGCCCACTCCGGGTCGGGGATGAGTTCCTGCCCCAAGTGGAGGAGTTCAAGTATCTCGGGGTCTTGTTTGTGAGTGATGGGAGAAGGGAGCCGGAGATCGACAGACGGATTGGTGATGCGGACGCTGCACCGGTCCATCGTGGTGAAGAGGAAGCTGAGTGTAAAAGCGAAACTCTCAATTTACTGGTCGATCTACGTCTCTACCCTCACCTATGGCCGCAAACTGTGGGTAGTGACCGAAAGAACAAAATCGCGGATACAAGTGGCAGAAATGAGCTTCCTCCGAAGGGTGGCTGGCCTCTCCCTTAGAGATAGGGTGAGAAGTTCAGCCATCTGGGAGGGGCTCAGAGTAGAGCCGCTGCTCCTCCACATCGAAAGGAGCCAGCTGACGTAGTTCGGGCATCTGACAAGGATGCCTCCTGGGCGCCTCCTGAGTGAGGTGTTCCAGGCATGCCCCACCGGGAGGAGGCCCCGGGGCAGACCGGGGACACGCTGGAGAGATTATATCTCTCGGCTGATTCATGAGTTATTGTGAACTTTTAAGCGCTCTACATTATCATGTGATTGTTTTCACACAAAAAAATTGTAAAACAAAATGTATTATTAATATTTAATAATTTTTTAAGTAAAACTTTGTTATATAATGCACAACAATAGTGGATATAGCAAAAATAATACAAATTAAAACTCATAGATACAAAACAGTTTTAGATTTGTTGTTTTAAAATTTGTCAGCAGGTTCAACAAACACTTTTTCTAGAAAGTATTTCATGGTTTAGGGAAATCAACCCTAACCAACACTAGCATTAGATGACAACTCCCCACCTCTGCACTCTTGCCCAAATATTGTAATGTTTGGTAAAAGAAAAAAAAAATCTCATAAATTGTTGGTTAAAATGACAAACTTGAGTTTTTGATTGATATCACAATGTCTGCATCCATCTGTTATATACAGTCTGTGGTACCAACCTCCAATATTTTTTTCTGTTTGATGTTATCATAAACTAAATCCAGCTTTGGACTATTGGTTGAATAAAACAAGGCTTAAGTACATCCCTTTGGATTCTGGGTAAAGACTGGACGACTGTCCCATTTTTTAACACACTTTAAACACATTAGAATCAGGAAAAGACATCCGCGCAGTGCTACAAGGTGCGGTGTAGTCAGAATCGCACAGTTCTGAGTCAGATACTTTTTGAACTCAGATTAGTTTCATTGCATGGTTTTAAATTGTGGTTATTACCTGGTGGCGTACATGTCAGTACCTTACAATGTTTTGAAGAAAAGCAAAGTTTTTGAGTTTTGAATGTATCTATTTTAAAGGGACAGATCAATATAAACATGCCAGAGATAGCCAAAAGGCTACTTTTTTATCTATAGTCTGTAGTAGATCAGAGAAAAATGAGCGAGAAATGTGGAGTCTAAAAATGTTATTTTCTTTTGTCAAACTTCGACAAGTGTGACTACCTTCATCACAGGATTTAACCTCCAGTCACGTGTATATCATTCCCAGTCAGTGACAGTTTATCATAAAGTGAGTCCACTGATCATTTACATCAAGGAAATTTAAGTCAAAATTTAAGACGATAAAGGAGCAGTGACACTCACAGAGCTCATATAATCCAGCTTCTAATTTATGTGCTGCTCCACAAAGGGCTATTGTGAGGGCCACTCAGAAGAAGAATTGTTTCTTTGCACCCTTTAAGATGAACTCTGAACTGTATAGGCAGAGAAAAAGCGAGATGCCTCGTCCTTGCAATAAAATGGGTTCAAATCTGGCCGGTTACTGCTCTGACCTCACATTTCTCTCTGTCTCCCAGCAGTTTGTTCACTCCTCAGAACACTGGGTGTTATCTAACACTGCAGGGATGCAGTGTGAAAAAAATAGGGGGGGTTGAGCTCACAAAGAGTGCACACTAATCCACCTTTTATTATCTGAAAAAAAAAAGCATTGGTTTCTACTATCAACATGCTGCCTGGCAGAAAATATGAGCGCATTCTGTATATCTGTATCCAACGTTATATTGACTTCTACTGCACATCCCACTTTCGTTCAACACAGTAAAACTCAATACTACTTCAGGAGCAACAGCTCAGAGTGCAGTGATACAGCAGGCTTGCCTGGTCTCGCTTACTCTGATCTAACGCTGTAATAGATGAGGCTATTTAGCCAGGCGAGTCTGTGCACACTGCATCAGTGAGATGTTGTTTTCCCCAGCAGCCATCGATAAAAATGAAACAAAAGATGGAGGGGGGACTCGTTTCATTCTGCCCAGCTGAAGAAATTATTTATGTGCATAATTTCTATTTATGATTCACCGCTTAAAGAAAATAAATAAATAAACAGAAAAGGAGGGAAGTCATTTCACAATGAGACAATAGAAAGGGTGTGAGGGACTTACGAGAGGGTCCTCTCCAGCCTTCCTCCTGTGGAGCCGATAATTTCTCCGAGTGTGCAGAAGGTCTGGCCCAGAAAGTCCTTCGAGGGGGAAAGGGTAGAAAGAAGACAATTAATTGCAAGACAGTACTAATCAATAACCCAGGCCTCAAAACAGGCTCAAATACACTACAGTAGAAATATAAATATATGCCTGCAGATAATTATAATGGAGCCATTGTTAACTTTAGACCCTACAGGATAGTTATTATTATGTTAGTTTAAATAACATAGTTACATATACAGGGACGCACTGTGTGCAACAATGGCTTTTTCCCACCAAAAGGGTATTGTGATTCTTTTTCCCCTGAAATCGTTCACACATAGTTTTTTGATAAACTAATACTACTGCTATTACTCATATGACATTTAAACGCCTTTAAAAACACAGTACGGGGTGTTTTGACATGCAAGTATGAGTAAAATACAAAAACCAGGACAGAAATAAAATGGAGCCAAGTTAAAGAGACATTGGGATATAGGATATATTGATATTAAATTCAAAAATACACAAAACAGTTAAAACATATACACACAATAGCATTTAAGGTCTAAAATGAGAGTGACAAATGAGATAGACATTAGATAAAAGCAAATTTATAAAAATGGGTTTGTCCAAGTGATTTCAAAGAAGTCACAGATTTCCTGAGACTCGTCTATTTGTAATCCAAAGCTGAGGGGCCCTGATGGACAAGCTGTTGTCACCTTTGGAATAATTTTTGTTAAATGGAGGGCAGTACTCATTGCAATATGTGACAACACAATGTTGGGGGATCAGCGCCACCCCATGCCTCCCTTTTAGCTTCACATTTGCTCTGGTATCACTTATTTTGGCGTTTGCTTGGACTCATGATGTGGATCACTGCGAGTCTTGCCCTGTCCTGTAGGCCTGGGTTGTGACAGCACATGCTCGTTTCATTTTGCAGCTCCTCAACTTTATCCACTAGAGTTATAAAAGTTGGCAACGAGGGAACCAGCCCATTAAACTCTATGAAACATCTGACTAGACACCTCTGGCTCTTCAGTGTTTTAACATTAAAGGGTTAACACTAAAGATAATGGGCTCTATAACAGTTGAGAAAGACTATAAAATCAATAGGGATATTATCAAAGATATTAAAGTTATTAAAGTTCCATTAAAGTTTAATCTCATCTTACTGAAGTGCCATTTTAAATTAAACATTAACTTCCGAGTTTGAGTCCATGATTTACATAAGCATTCATTATTCCAACTAGGTCAAGCCCAGGAAGTCCTGGAGGACTGCATTATTCAGCTGCTTGTTGACCGATTGATTATTCTTAAAAGGGCCGACACTGTGTGTGGGGCAAATGTCCTATTAGTAGAAATAAAGGTTTCCCCTTCGTTCAGCATTTTTATTGACAACAACAGATTTGGAAGTTTACAACCCCCAACCACTACAGAGAAAACCATATGGCAACATTAAAAAAAGAGGCGATGACACAACATAATGAAACTCCTGCACAGCAACGAGGGCAGAGCGTTGATGTTTGCGGTGTGTGGGCGCGAGCAGGTGTAGGTGCAAGTCCTGCAAAGCGGGTATGCGTGTAGCTCCTGTAAATGCCCTGACATGCACAATCTGCTGTAGTATAGTGCCTGGAACAACAACGACAGCTGCTTTCACTTTGAAGTGGAGTTGTGAAAGTTGCTTTTACCTGAGTTAATGATAAAATGCAGACAGACAAAATGAGGAACAACACTACGGGGAGGGGGGCTTTCCAGGTGGGAGCTGCTGCTGTTTGTCCTTGATGAAATGAGATGAAAGAATGGGAGAAAAAATATGATGAAATTAAAGGGAGTGAATCACACCACACACACACACACACACACACACACACACACACACACACACACACACACACACACACACACACACACACACACACACACACACACACACACACACACACACACACACACACACACACACCACCAGAAAAATCACAAGATTTTTCTGGGGATGCTGAAATATACTGGAACATAAAAAAAATGAAATGAATAAAGGACATAATAATACAAGGACTCATGAGACCAACACTCTTCAGCTGAAACCACTCACCTTCTGTTCTCCAGTGTGATTTATTTTAGTGGGGAAGAAGAAGAATAAAAGACATTGTCATGGGATGGAATTCCACTTATTAAACAGGAATTTTCTTCATGCTGATTCATTGTCAGCTGCTGCACTCATTGACTGTAAATTAGCATTTACAGCGTGAGTAATGCTGAATAACATGATACATTTGAATGCTGCCAGGAGCCTTCAGCTCTGAGTCAAAACTGTCGTTTGAGGTTGACATACTGTACTTACGTGTTTGGATATGTTACAGCTTCTGGAGTCCACATTGTACCTGTGAGAAACAAATAGATGGCACAAGAGGAAGAACTTGTGAGTTTATATTGGAGGAGATTTTGGACAAGTGCATAAATGGGCTTCCTTGTTATTAGTCTGGGAACAATGAGGGTGTTTATTCAGAAAGCAGCAGTTCTAACTTAGAGAAATTATGTTAACCCTGGAGTTGAAACACACAGGTTTGAACAGTCAGAGTAATAAGCTCTTAAACTGATTTTTCTTTTCACATGGGAACCAACAGGTGTGATAACAAAAAAAGAGTCTGCTTACTTAATGTTAGAGTATAGTCCAAAAGTTGGATAAAAAGCCACACATAGGTCTTGAATATTTGTTTCAAATTAGTCCAAAACCTTCCACAACTGCCCTGCTTATTACAGTTTTGAAAAGTGCAGTAGAGTAACTCTGGTCAGAGGAGAGAAGCATGATTTTTCTGTTACTTGTTTTCTTCACAGCAGTGATCAGCCACATTACTGTGATGCCATGACTTTGCAACTCAGCAGAAAAGTATGATTATAGGACCAATTGCAGAGTTTTATCTTCTGGGTTATCTAGCAGGAAGACATTTTTAAGCATGTGAATAATGCTTCCAGGTCTGAATGTACCCTAAACGAACATTATTTATCGCTGCCAGCAGGGGGCGACTCTTTGGTAAAATAGGCTTTTGTTTGCATAGTGTAAAAGTGTGAAATGTGCTCTTAAACACTGGCAACACTAAAATATCCTCAGCTTCACAGCAGGACTTCACTAACCAGTTGATGTCATCTACATCCATCTTTTTTACACAGTTTATGATTTTATAATCTCCAATAACCTAAATTCTATTTAATAAACCAAACTAAATAATAATAATAATAATAATAATAATAATAATAATAATAATAATAATAATAATAATTCTTAAGAATTCTCACATTTTTTTATTTTTTCAAAATTAATGAATAACAACATTAATGATATTTTAGGATCTTTTCTCTGAAATGCATCACATCAACGTGATTGTATTTATCAGCAAACAATTTGTTTTTAAGTAAATAATAAGCAGTATAAATTAATAAACTATGGAAATGCAGTAATATACACTGCTTAAACGCATTATAGTAGTTTAACATATTTACATCCCCCTGGCAGATCAAACATTGAGTATCCTTTGCTGCCACTCAGTTGCCTGCCTAAAAGTAAAAAAAAAAACTTTACAGTGGGACCACATGTGCACCCACTTTGTTTCTGCTAGCATCTCATAGTATCTGGTTTCTATGTTAATGCTAGTCTCTTTCCATGTGGATGCCCCTTAAGTATGGGTATATGTACATGTATATGATACTGAAAAGTGCTGGGGGAAGAGGAAGTAGCCTATTCCAGCTGTCGCTGGGCCGCCAGTTCATCAGAGGCCTGACAATCATTCACACCTACAGCTAATTTTGAACCACCAGTTAAACTGAAACCCACACGTACAGGGAGACCATGTGACCTCACCACAGAAAGACTGGCCAGCAGATTCAAACCAATAACGTTCTTGCTGTGAGGTGACAGTGCTAACCACTTCACTATTCTGTGAACAGTCGAGTGTTTGACTTTGGTCTGTTACTTAGTAAAGTCAATAAACTGAGGATCTACAGAGAAAATAAATTATTGAAGTGTAATCAAAGGCATTACTAGGTTAATTATCTCTGCCTCCACATTTCAGTTTTTCCGCAGTGTGCTCATGTTTAAATTACTTTAGATTTATTAAGAGCAAGCAAAGTCAGGCTACTTACACATCAAACCTTAGATTCTGTTTCTCTTCAAAGAAGAAATCCAGGACAAACTTCCTGACGAAATCAGGATTCCGAGTGTTATCGATAACCTCTGTCCTGCCAAACTACAGAAAAAAAAGAAGTGATAATTGGCGGTAACAGTAGCATCGATTGTTTTTTTATATATGCTATAAAACTTGTTTTAAGAAAAAATACATCAGAGATACAACCGAGTAAAATTCATGAGGTTTAGCAACAAGTCATTAATAAATTTATACACAGAACTGGAATCCATAGACACAAATTCACCTTTGCAAAACTCAGTATGACACTGAGCTGCATTGTGTTTTGCTGAACCTCGTTTCCCTAGAGAAATCAGAGTGTTACTCTGGAGGAGGCTCTCCACATTGCGAGCCCACAGAGACTCAGTCCCAGCCTCTCTCCTGGGCCAGACTGTCTCTCCATCATACTGACAATCACGCCAGTAATCCCCCGGTGGACTGCCGGCCGCGGGGCTGTGGCATGGCCTGACAGCACCGTGTAATGAGCTATTGATCTTAGCACTCCCTCGCCACAGCCACAATACCTCGACTCATGTCCTTAGTGCCCAGTGCACATAATCCGCGCTACCAACCGTGTCCCCAGCCTATCCATTACCAAGGGCTCGCAGGTTACTATATTAGACCTCAGAACTGACCCGCCGTATCGACCCGCAGGGAAAAGCCCGTGATATTTTCTTGCGGTGTTACTATTTCCAGGGATGGAGGCCTTTGGTTTATAATCTGACTCTGACATGATTGGTTAATAGATGTTAGAGCATTGTGGGCAAAGGTTAGGAATGGCTTTGTCAGTGATTTTTTTTTCTTATTCTTGGGTAAGTAAGGAGTTTTAAAGGCAGCGTCGGCATAGGAGCTAAGACTGTAAAATGAGTTGGTTACAGATGTAATCCTATTACACATACATGCTTTTTATCAACATTCCACTCCTTTCATCTATTGTTTTTCACTAAAGTACTGCCAGGGAACATTTATTCACTGTCAGAAATACACTGGGTCACAGAAAAACTGACTCAAGGCTAAAAAACTGTTAAATAACAACAACATTGGTGCACAGAAGAAAGACCTACTCTTCAATTTGTTTTCCGTGTATGTTGTTATGGGAGCGTTTTTTACGTTTATTGGGTAAGCTAAATGGAGTTCATAGAGACTGTAATACAAAAGCTGCATAAGGGATCTTTGAACCATTTGTTGCAGAGGGTTTAAAGAGATTTGTTTCCTTGGAAATCTGCAGTTCTCAGCCTGGTAAGTAGACATGTCTGAAAACATATTTGACAGGTATTAGAATAAGAATTCAGCACTACCACATATATTGTAATTGGTGTAATTCAATAGTATCTTCCTTAGCACAACATGGATGCATATTTGCCCGAGAGTAAACTGATCTTGGATTTAGCACTCAGAACCCAAATTAACATGTATACTAGCAACAATTCAAACAGCTTATAGGAAGAGGCGATAATTGCCAACTTAAATGTGATCTTAAAGCCTTTCAAATCCAAAAGTTCTTTCAACTTAAAGTGTTCTTTTTCTGTAGCATTGAATAGTCATGATTAAATAACCCGAAATCAGATTTAAAGGTAGGAGTTCAACTAGCTATCAAGCTAATCTGCTTCACCAGGACTGTGTGGGTGTGTTTTGAACAAATTTAATGAGCAGAGGCTTGACATCTTAAGAAAACAACCCCATAATTGTCATCATATCTTGATTCAAAGGTTGCAAAATCCTGATTGCTGCAGGGAATGAACTCCCACCCACTTCAAGCAAGTGAGAGAAACTCTCATTAAAGACGAACACAGAAATGTTTCAAGTGAATCAACAGAAGTAACGCCCCGAAATCCGTAGTAGGATAGCAATCTTGCTGTGTCTGTGTCCTATAATGCAAACAACCAAGTGAATTTAGTCAAAGTGTACAGTAGCATTGCTGACAGCAGGCTACAGAGTGTGTCCATGTTTGTTTTTGTTTGTTTGGTTTAATTTCAATCAGAAATGCCAAATAAAAAAAGTGAAACTTGAAAAGTGGTTAAAATTCATGGAGTTTAGTAATTTTAATGGGGACAGACTGCAGACAAACTAGATGATTACTTCATGGGAACCCATGTTTTCATTTTCAAGATGCCGACTCATCTGCAAACACTTTTCAACTGATCACCACTGAAACAATTATATTTCAAACGATGAAACGTGGAAAATGAATTAGGGTTTAGCACTCATTTTCACAGTGTCTGCCAAGTTTAGCTAATATACAATAAACAGTGAAGACCTCTCCTGGCCCAGCACAGTCCATAAGTTTTTGGACAGTGGCAGTTTTTTGTTTGTTTGTTTTTTTTTGTTGTTGTTTTTTGCCTCTGCACGCCACCACCGTGGATTTTAAATCAAACAGTCAAGATGGGATTAAAATGCAAATGTTCACCATTAATTAACCATTAATTAGTTAACCCCTGTTAACTGTAGTCACTTTTAGAAGTTCACTTCTTAAATTTTTGTTGTATTACAAAAAAAAAAAAAAGAAGATAAAAAGGCCTGAAGAAAGATCTGAAAAAGATGAGCGTAGATGGAAGATAAAAATGTTTGTATTTGGTATCTGTACACTGGAATTCATAATATAAGGCTCAAAGACATTGGTAGAAGTGAAAGAGGCCATCATTAGGCTGAGAAAAGTGCCCTGATGCATGCTCAATCATCCAGGTAAGTAAATCCCAAAAGGTTGATTCTGTTCATCTGGACGTTACGTTTTCAGTCGGAGAAATGTTTCCTCACTCATCCAAGTGATTTCTTCAGTCTCAGCTGACTTCAGGCTTCCCCAACCTTATAAACAGTACATTTGCACAATAGCTGAAACTAGCACCACTGAAGGAACAATGGCCTGGGAGGTCACCCTCATCATAATTATGCAAATTATCTTGACCACTGATCAAAGCCCACTGATCAATGTCCATGAGTACCAGCTGGGGAATGGCTGCAATCACAGGATTGCAAGATGGCGAAAGATGTACCCTTAGGCCCTCTCCTCGATTCAGAGATGGTCTTTCCCTTTTCACGTAAATGGCCTCCTTGACCAGCGTTCCTCCCTGTCCAGGATGTGTACATCCTCATCGTTGAAAGAGTGTCCACTGGCCTGTAGGTGTGAATAGACTGCAGAGTCCTGGCCTGACGAGGTGGCTCTTCTGTGTTGTGTCATCCGCTTCGCCAGAGGTTGTTTGGTTTCCCCGATGTATAAATCCTGGCAATCCTCCTGGCACTTAACAGCATATACTATGTTACTCTGTTTGTGGTGTGATCCTTGGGGTGGACCAATTCTTGGAGCAGCATGTTTTATGGTTTAAAAGCCACAGATATGCGGTGGTTAGAGAGAATGCGTTTCAACCGTTCCGATATTCCTGACACATACAGGATCACTACAGGTTTTCACTTAGGCAGCAGCTGTCCTTCTCTCCTGGATCGGCTGGAGCTGTCTTTAGGTGCCTTCCCAGCTTTGACAAATGTCCAGCTGGGGTAACCACATTTACTGCAAATGTACTGTTTATAAGGTTGGGGAAGCCTGCAGTCAGCTGAGACTGAAGAAGTCACTTGGATCAGTAACTCAACATTTCTCCCACTGAAAACGCAACATCCAGATGAACAGAATCAACCTTTTGGGATAGGCTGAGAAAACAAAATCAACCTATGATAGTAAAAAACACAGAATATTGAAGTGCATGATGCCAGAATTATTTCCATGGTGAGAAAAAATTAATTCACAAAATCTAGACATACCCATAAATGTCCATGACATATCCATAAAACTTTTGAGGAGGCAGGTGTATCACTGTCAAAGTCTACCATCAGGTGGCAACATCATCAGTGGACATATAGGTTTACAAGAAGGTGCAAACCACTGGTTACACTCAAGAACAAGAAGACAAAATTAAACCTCGGCAGGAAACGTCTAAAAGAATCTGCACAGTTCTAATAAAAGTTCTTTGGACACATGAAACACAGATTAACTTGTACAAGATTTATGGGAAGTAAAGTAAGTAAGTAAAATTTTATTTATATAGCACATTTCTAGATAGAAATCACAAAGTGCTTTACAATATAACACATTATAAAAGTAAAAAAAAAAACAAGATACAAACAAAGTTAGCAAAAAGCAATTTTAAAAAGATGTGTTTTTAGCTGTTTTTTTAAAAGTAATCAATGAATCAGCGGATCGTAAGTCCTGAGGCAGGGAATTCCACAGTCTGGCGGCCACAGTAGCAGAAGCTCTATCACCCCTAGTTTTCAGTCTCGTATATTGAATGACAAGTAGGCCCTGACTACTCGACCTCAGAGATCTACTAGGGGCATAGGGCTGTAAAAGTTCAATAATATATGGTGGTGCTTGTTGTTGAAGAGCCTTAAAAGTTAAAACCAAAATCTTAAAATGGACTCTAAATTCGACAGGAAGCTAATGTAACTGCATAAGCAACGGTGTTATATGTGAATATTTAGAAGCTTTCGTCAAAAGTCTTGCTGCAGCATTCTGAATGATCTGCAGACGCTCCAAAGAACCTTTGAAGAGAACATATAGATGATTACAGTTGCAGAAACACAATCTGGGACTTGTTTAACTCTTAGGATTGTTTTCTGGTGATTTTCCTTGGTTTAATTCTATAAAGACTTTCATTAGAGACAGAAAAAAAATCCACATGCTTTCTGTCCGTTAACAAGACAATAAGATTCCTTTGTTGTGGGGAGGATGATAAATAAAAGTACCAGCTTAATAACCTACTATAGCTTCCTAGAGTTTAGTCTGTTCAGTGACTGCAATTATAACACTGATTTGATGAAATACAGTTTGTATCACCACAAAATTCCATTGCCAGTGTAGCTCTACCTTCATTTCTGGCTTAAGGGCATGTAATCACACAGACAGAGCTGAGACGGAGTAGTCTGCAGTCATCTATGGGGTACTACTGCTGATTTGTTGACCTTTAAGTGGAGGATCATAGCTGTTCACAGAGGAAAACTGAACCGCTTGTGATCATAAAACAAATGAGTAAACTGTCATGGCCTGGGTCTAGGGACCCAGGGCTCATGTATTTTAGTGTATGTTTATATTTATATTTTCCTATCACGCGACAAGAGGTAGGCCACTTGAACTCTTTTGTTGTAGTGATGGGCCGCCTGAGACTGTTTTGTGGGTTTTTTTCTTTTTTTTGCACCGCTGCGGGATGCGCGGTCTGACTTTGGGACTGTGACCTGGGAGGGTTTGTTACTTTGTTGTTTTTGCTTGTTTTGGTTCTGGCCCTCCGTCCTGGTCCTACTTTCACTGCAACTCCACAGTCTGCTGTCGCAGCCCGTGACATAAACAGTCTGATGCAACTGGAACTGAAAAACTCCAGCAATCAAGCTTCAGCATCATCTTGTATGTCATAGAATGAAATTATTGCATTAGCAGGGATCATTTTGTGTACAGGCTATGCAATATTAGCCGTATATACCATCGATATACCATCGACCCCTTTGAAACCAAGATGGCGCCGCGTATGGATGCCCTGGTACTTCAGTGCGTTACTTCTGTTTTGTTTTTGTGCATAACTTGTGTGTCTGGGCACTCTTCTGGATATTCTTACACCAGAGAAGAGCTTCTTAACTACAGGACTACAACACCTGTGGATTTACTTCCAATATTTGTCGCATCTGCGGCAGATTTACTACAGACCTTGTTCAGGAAAGTGGGACGCCGAAGGAGAGGAAAGCGAGCCGGCGCACTCGTGCATCTGAGGAGACGCGAACTGAATGACTACAGACCTGTGGCTCTGACATCTGTGGTCATGAAGTAATTTGAGCGCCTGGCTCTCTCCTACCTCAAGACCCTCACGGCCCCCCTCCTGGACCCCCTGCAGTTTGCATACAGAGCCAACAGGTCTGTAGACGATGCTATAAACATGGCTCTACACTTCATCCTGCAGCATCTGGACTCCCCAGGAACCTATGCCAGGATCCTGTTTGTGGACTTCAGCTCTGCCTTCAACACCATCCTTCCAGACCATCTCCAAGGCAAGCTTTCCCAGATGAATGTGCCTGATCCCATCTGCCGGTGGATCACTGACTTCCTGACGGACAGGAAACAGCATGTGAGGCTGGGAAAGAATGTCTCGGACTCCCGGACCATCAGCACCGGCTCCCCTTAGGGCTGTGTTCTTTCTCCCCTGCTCTTCTCCCTGTTCACCAACTGCTGCACCTCCACCCACCAGTCTGTCAAGCTAATCAAGTTTGCAGATGACACCACCGTTATTGGACTCATCTCGGACGGGGATGAGTCTGCCTACAGGAGGGAGGTTGAACGTCTGGTGTCCTGGTGCAGCCACAACAACCTGGTGCTGAATGCCCAGAAGACAGTGGAGATTATTGTGGACTTCAGGAAGCGCACAGCCCCACTCCCCCCCATCATCCTGACTGACACCCCCATCACCTCTGTGGACTCATTCCGCTTCCTGGGTACCACCATCACCCAGGACCTGAAGTGGGAGCCCACCATCACCTCCGTCATCAAGAAAGCCCAGCAGAGGATGTACTTCCTGAGGCAGCTGAAGAAATTCCACCTGCCAACACGGACGATGATGCAGTTCTACACTGCAATCATCGAGTCCATCCTCACCTCCTCCATCACCGTGTGGTACGCTGGAGCCACTATCAGGGACAAACAGAGACTGCAGCGTGTTGTGCGCTCTGCTGAGAAGGTGATTGGCTGCCGACTCCCATCTCTGCAGGATCTGTACACCCCCAGGACACTGGGGCGTGCAGCTCGGATCACAGCTGACCCTTCTCACCCTGGACACAGTCTGTTTGACCTGCTCCCCTCAGGCAGGAGGCTCCGGTCCATTCACACCAGAACCTCTCGCCATAAGAACAGTTTCTTCCCCTCTGCTGTTGGACTCATGAACAATAACCATATGACTGTTTCCACTACTAACACATGACCCTACGCTGTGTTCACTGCATCATTCCATGTTTGGCACTGATCACCACCTGCACTCATGTATATATATCTACTTAGCACTTTTAATATTTATTTTTATGTTTATTTACAGAATGTTTTGCACTAAGTACCGCAGCAATTTCCTAATGTTGTAAACCTGCTCAACATTTGACAATAAAACCCTTTCTGATTCTGATTCTGATAGCCTTGTTTTGCATAACAAATATGGCCTATAAGTAAGATGATACAGTGTCAAGATGATTCTTCATTAGCTGAGTCCTTCCCATCACATGGTTACTGCGTGCATTTGAAATATTATACAAATTTATTGCACCTTATTTTGATGGACTTTATTTTCTATACTGCGCACACATAATAAACAAAACAGTCACACAATACAAAAAAACCCATCATGCTCACAGGACGTTTGCATGTAAGTGTAACTGAACGTTAATGAATAATTTCTGCATGAATTGCACTTACAAATGACATATAGATTATTTACATAATGCATAATGATGTCAAAAGCACACAAAGGATTTCCAGGTTTCCATCCATGTGCAATTATCTCCTCGAGGTGTCAATATGTAAGGCTGGCAGAGAGATATTTACTCTGCTGATTGTGCTGCAATTCATGCAGTGCTTTTTGATTAAGCCCCACCACATGGAAAGCAAAGGTGTGAGGTGCGTTAAAATGAGGGGATCAACGGTAGCCAAATAGTGTGACTAAAGTACACAAAGTGACTAGAGGCAACGTGTAGGCAAACTAGATGAGGGAATGTAGCACCAAGATGTGAGACATGAACTGTGTGAGGGACCTAACAGATCAAAATGTATTCAAAATGTTAATGAGCAATGGAATGTCACATGACCTTGCCTTTAAAACAGTGACAGTGGATGAGACAGCAAGATGTCAAGGGGAGCAGATGGTGCATTTTTGATGAGGTGGAAAAAGAACTGACCTTCTTTCTCTCACTGCCCTGAGTCATGACAAGAATCCATTTCATTCAACATCATAAAATTATGAGTCTTTTAATTTATTTATTCCATCACCTCCAACATAAATTCACCAGTTTGGGTCTGATATGTGGGGCTTTTCCCCCCCCCGGTGTTCAAGATGTGGTTTCACTTTCTGGGCAAGTGAAGAGGCTCACACTTCCAATTTTCTACAAAATGTTCTCATGGGTTTTTGTGAGTTGCCTCTGGATTTCAGCTTAATAACCCCCATTTTAAGTTCTGATTGAAAATCACTAACACTGAAGACAACTCATTTATTTCATTCCCTATAAAAACAATAAAAATAAAAAAAATCTGGCAGATATGTAGACAAAAATATTGGACATTGTTATTGGGAATAGAAAGGTTGCTTAACTTACCTCCCTCCATTCTTTGGTTCCCACAGCCTGCAGATACAACACAACAACTGGAAGGGAAAGTGGAGGAGTAGAGGCCAAAAAGGAAGAAAAGAAAAAACACACTTTTTAATCTTAGTCACTAGTGTAATGGTTTCTGCATGTTGCCACCTACATATCAACACACTCACATCCACATATATTTCAGTTAGATCTGATGTAGCCGCAAGCAGAGTAAACAATTTCTTCTTAAACGCAATGAAAGACCATTTAAAAAATGTGGAATTTTCAATATCCAGTGGTGATATTTACACTCTATTAATAAAACAGCTGTCCATTAGAACAATAACAACTCATTGTACATTTCTCTCATTTTCACACTTTTCATCCTGATCTCGCTGCGTAACTGTGAGGGAGTGATCATTCTCTACATTTTCTGCCTCACAGATATGCTGTCACCACTTTCAGCCAGGCCTCTCTCTGGCTATTAATATGCATGTATATTACAAAAAAAATGCAGAAGTGCTACAAGGCATGGATCTAAAGACCAAATAGGTAGAGTGCCATTGCAAACTCCCCTCTCAGAGAAAATAACAGAATCAGTTGTGAGCAAACACATACAAATTTAATGATATCTCATCAGCCTCAACTGTACTTAGTGTTCAGTGTTGCATGTTAGCATATCCTTGTTCAAACAGGCTTGGCTAAAATACTGTAATGTATTACATGAAAAATACTATTCTTCCATGTAAACAAAAAAGGTTTCCACGGAAACCTTTCATCCATGTTTTTAAAATCTTTCTGATCTTTATGTCTTTACTGACATAACTGAAAATGTTACCTCTTGCTATAACCCTGCAAGTGCGATCCAAGATACTTATATGCATGTAACTGGAGTGGTTATGTAGTGAGCAGTGAGCGCTTCCAAAGCTCACATCTAATAATGAACAGAAACTATAAATATCAGATGAACAACTGCAATCCTGAAGTTCTTTCAGTTGAAAAAAAGAAGAAGTAAACAGAAGTGTATGGGGAAATGACCCCTCATTTATAATCCTAATCACTTATTGTGAGTCGTATATTTCACATAGTGTTCATAGTAGCCTGTCCCCTGTTTTCCTTCAAGCCAAATCTTTGCTTTATGAAAAATGTAAAGCACCAGCAAACACAGATTTGGGCTTTAAAATGTTTAAAATGTTTTATATATGCAGTCTGTGACAGTGCACCTGAAGCACCACAGCTGCCCTGGCTCTGTTAATGCATTGCTCCTGCCATGCAGTGCTCTGAGCTAAATGATGAAAGCCTCGCAATTACAGTACTAACATGCTGACATTTAGCAGGTATGAAGGTCTAACTGTTACCACAGTCTACTCAGTCTAGCTTCCTAGTATTTCTTTGGATAATAATAATAATAATAACCATGATGTCATTAGTTTTGTCATTGTGTTTGTTCATAAAACACATTACAGAAAAACAGTCATTCTGAGCAGAGGACAGTGCAATGACCAAACTGATTAGCAGCGTATTTGTCTTTACATGTCTACAAACGTAAATGACCAAACCAACAAAGGTTTAACTTCAGTTTAATACTTGACTTAGTTCTTCCACAATATTTCTGATAAAGATTTGAACAAAAATCCATCAGATTTATTACATTTTGATTATAATTCACCAACAGGTTGTTGAGTTATATTTCACTCAAAACAGTTTTCTGATCTCATAGAGGAAGTGTTAAGGCAACCAAGTCACCAAGCATATTCCAATTTATAAGTGGATTGTGTATCTGCTATTTTCATTGGAAAAAGTACAAAAATATCAGCCTCCCAGTGATGCTATGACCAACGTTTTTTTGATCCATTCTATGGGGACCCAGAATTTCACAGCATTCAGTAATTGCTGGGATAGTTCATTTACCAAAAGCCTTAGAGACCGCCTTTTTAAACTTAGCATGGCTAAAGCGTTTTAGCCTAGAAAGGCTAAGGCAGAAAGGGTTTATTTTAAAAGACTTAATATGACACTTTTTGTTGTAAGCAAAGAATTTACCTTTACTTAATAATCAATAGCAATGCCACTGTAATCTGGCTTATTTTTACAGTAACTCATTAAGTCTCAAAAAAAATTCTTGATTAGTCAAACTGTTTTCCTTCACAGACGAGCATTACAGCCTTTACAAATTCGCTTTTTCGTGACTACGGTATAAATTCTTGAATTGTTAAAATAAAATGGGCCTAAGTAAGTTCTCCAACTGGTTACAATTTTTACTGTAATGTTTACCGTGTCCTGCAGTGCTTTGTTTAACATTATGTCTGTCTTTTGAGGGCAAAAGTTACTTTAAAACAGCATAAATATGCAAAAACACAGGGCCAGACCAATTATAACCCACAGATTGATTATGTTTATCATGTTAAGCTCAAACACAAACATGTTCATGCCTAAGCTAACAAGTAACACTCACGAAAGGCCCTTATGAGGTGTATTAATAATTGGCCAAGTGTTGCTGTTTGTGTCTAGACAGGCACCATCAGCCACTTTGTGCCTCTGTGAAGTTTGGACATTAGCTCTAATGAACTTCAGACTGTCTGGACCGACAGACGATTAAAACCACATTTTCCCTCCTAATGAGCAATTAAGAGAGGCGAGATAAGACAGAAAGAAGAGCAGACAGCAAGCGGTTTGGGCAGAGGGTTTGAAATAAAACAATATTTTCTTTGTCTGACTATTAGCAGGAATATTGCTGCTTAAATGAGGTTTATAAATCTGATTAATCCAAGTTAATCAGTTAGTGAATTAGCCCTCAATTGAATAACAGAAAATAAAAAACTGAAGGCAAATGAACATCAGGGGTTCAATCTGTTTGTCTCAAAGTCATACCTCTTAACTGCAATAATGATGTTTGAGAGAGAGCACGGTGCTTTGACCGAGATCAGAGTCTTGGGACCTTAATGTTCCCCGAAGGTTGCAGAGTTAGAGCAGCACAGACTCTAACTAATCCCCGGTAAAGCCATTTGAGTGTCGTCCGTTTCGGAAGAACCTGACTGATTGCCTGCTTTATGGAAAGTGACTGACAAAGGAAGGAGCCCATCTGGTCAACTGCACAGCGGCCAAATCACAAGGCAATTCCATATCCCTCCTCCCATGACTCCTGACAACAGTCTGGCTGCAGGCTGGCCACACAGGGGACACTAAACATGAATGATTCAGAATTGAGCACAAATCATATCAAGTTCTAATCTGAATGGACATTTTAGCAGTGTACAGGTCATCCTACAGAAATAGAATATCTCCAGCAAACAGGAATCTGCATATTAGGATGTTAACACATTCATACCAGAATCTTTTGTCCAAACACACAAATGATTATTATACCATTACTATTCTTCTAAAGCAAATGAATCCAGGATTTCAGATCATTTGGCCACTTGATGTTTTGAAGTCTGGTTTCCAAAGAACAATGTTGCTTTGCTTTTATCTTGGCTCCCTGTGTCTGTCACGGAGAGACAAAGAGCCAATCAGATAAAAGAGAAAAGAGCATTTTACTTCACTACCAGCTTTTTTTTTTCAGGTAAATATCAAATAGCTCAGCCACACGAGCCAGATCATACAGATCCACATCCACATAAACACAGTTTACTAGCTAGCACTGACAAAAACATTTTCAGATATTGCTGCACTGCAGGCCTTCTCGGCCAGCAGGGTTGTAAAAATTTCCAGATACAGTTACAGTATCCAGTTACATAGAAATATATAGGAAAAAAGCTGCAGACTGCCTTTCCTCACGGACTCAGTCAGTTTTGAATCATACTGAATATAAAAAAGTTTATGTCAAAAAGGAGGATAAAGAAGAATGCTATTTATCATGTGATTGGGTTTTTTTTTTTTTAGCGTGTAGGGAAATTCATCCTGAAGATTTCACTCCATATTCTAGACCCGGGTTTGAGAGTTTTTTACTGCTGTATGTACCATAGAAATCATATGGTTCCAGCTATACAAGATAATACAACAACATCTTAAACACTGATGGCCAGTGCAGGTGCACCAGCATGTATTTATGGATATATTTGCCATGTGAGTCGGACGATCAGAGAAAACTTAGACCACTAAAACAGAGAATGTCACAGAGAACTTTGAAAGAAACGCCTCATATTTACCTAAACAAACACGCATCTATTTCAGACAAAACAAGGTGACTGAATTTTAGCCATTGAAGTCATATTAACAGTATATTGCCAGAATTTTCATCATGATTCAATTGCTATTGTGAGCCTTAACATGTTTAATATCCCAAAAACTTTGTGCACCTGCAAAGGATGCAGTGCACACTAATATGACTGATTTAATATTTAGAGCTTGGCACTCACACTGCACACCCTACATGTCATTTTCTTGGGTTCTTCCTCCATGAATATTTTCTGTAGCACATCAAAGGTGCATTTGAGCTCACTTGGAGAGCTCAGGTTTCAAGCTAGATGAGGGCAAATTTGTGAGGTGGCTCCTTGTTCCCCTCTGATAACAATTCCCAGTCTGCATTTCAATTTCAGTGTCTTCTTATCTAAACTGTCACTAAATATGGAAACACAGGATACTTGTGCAACAGTCCTACAGCACTACACATTGTTATATGATGAGTAGCTTTGCTACTTTCTTTGAGGGAAATCATGTTTCGGCCTTTGTTTTGATGTAATGAACAGTTCTAAATAAAACAGCAGAAATCAGCAGAAGCAGGAACAGTAGATGTATTATTAACAACTGCTACAAATATTATGTTTAGCAAAGGGAATGAGGGGAAGTGGCTTGAACTATTTACACTATGTGTCCTGCACCCTCCAGCACTGATTTTCATCACATCTAAACTGCTGTGCATTTTATTTTGTCTACAGATTTCTTAAAGAGATACCCATCAGATAACTTCCAGGACACGCTGCCCTTCAATATCAACATGTCTGTCCCACAAGTATGTTGAGAGTAGCTGAAAATGCCAGAGCATACTCTCGGTTGAGCAACAGTTACATCAACAGTCACCTGTGTGAAGGTTTTATTTGTCTGCTGGGGATTTCTTGCTGCCTGCCTCCAA